AAACCAGACTGTTCATCTGATTCCAACTTATTTCCATACACAGAAAATAGCGTCAAAGAAACAGCAGAAAAAATAAATAAATAAATAAGAGCTTACCAGACCTGGGACAATTATTCTATTAAAAAACTAAAGATCATATATTCAAATAAACATATCTTAAACCAGAGTAAAAGTAGAAAACACTTGTTTTGCACAGCTCCTATGTAAAAATAGGAATAGGCTGAATGTTTTCTGTTAATATTTATGGAAAGACAGAACATGAATATACAATAAGCTCATGAGACGAGACAATACACAATACCAGGCTGAGGTTTAAAAATTCAGAGCCAAATTCTGTATTAAAATCTAATCACTGTGTAATTTTACAATCCATGTCGGACTAGTTTTGACTATTCAATTTGTGTTTTTACTTATAGCAAAAGGGACTCATGACTCTACACAGCTGTAAAATGATGATGGTTTAGTATATATTAAGACTAAACCAATGAGTTATTTTTTCAAATTAACATTAATTTAAATAACTTCAAATGATGACCCAGTCTGAGCACTAAAATCCAGCATGCACTCTGCTGCTGCAGTATCAATGATCACAGGCAGCTGGGTTAAAATCAGATAAAACACTTCTTCCCTTTGAGACTGTTAACCCTTTAAGGGTCTTTACAGTCAGGCTCTGTCCAGCTCAATCTTTAGCTCGGCACAAACTTCATTCAGCTGTAGCTCTGCTCTTCTCTAACTTCCTCTCCTGTCAGCTGTTTCGTGACGGTTGGCAAAGTAACAAGGTGTCTGCAGGGATTCCTGCCCTGCTCTTCTTCACTCCTTATTTTTCTGGTTAATGATTGGCCAGGTGTTACTCCAATAAGCAGGTCAACAGGAAGAGAAGCGATCAGCTCCATCGTTCCAGGTTGATGGTTCAATATCCTGCAGAACAGCAGGCCTCTGGGTCAACCTGAGTCACATCTTAGTGGCTGTTTAACATCATCATAATTTCTGGGAAGTTTTTGTAAAAGTAATTGATAGGTATTTATGATTCTATTAAAGAACAAACAGACAATGCAAGTGAATTTTATAAAAGCTTTTGCAAAAGGAGAAAACTCTGCAAACTGCTCCTCCAAGCCGTTCGCTGAGCGCTCTGAAGACCCTTTGTTAGAGCTTTCTCTTTTATTAAAAGATAAGGGAGGGCAGTAAAGAAAAACAGCAGACAGTCACAGGCGGCCTCCAAAGTAGGGGGTATTCCGGTTAATAAGGTCTGAGAAACACCGTTAACTGTTTCACATGGAAACACAGGAAGAAAAGGCCTCAAAGTCAGTTTATACATTTCAGCAGAGGAAGAGAATACTTTAAATTGAAAATCACAATATAATGCTGGGTTGAATGTAAGAATGATAACACAGAAAAATCCTAACAGTAATATTTCATTTTTCCTGCTCAAAATATTGTTTTTCCTCAAACTTGAAACAAAAATGGTAAAGTAGACGTCAGAGACCTTCACAAGGGGAAAAAAAAGTCTAAATATGCTAATAGAAATTTCTCCAGCTGCATATTTAAATTTCTGGACACTCCAGTCAAATAGAACAACATCATTTTATCATAAACCAGGTTGGGCCACTTTTTCCTTTGCTGGAGTCAAAAGAGTTGTCTAATAGCGAAGGAACACTTGCAGAGAGTTTTAGGAAAACCTGAAACTAGCACATGCAGTTTTTCCCAAGAAAACAAGATATACTACACCCAACTTCAGTTACCTTTGTGCGCACTAACAGGACAAGACTCCACTGCTGAAGGAAAAGCAGCCCAGTCAAAAGCCAAAAAAACAAACAAAAGATTCAATTAGTGTGCAAACTGTTTCAGAGCTCCTGTATATTCTGAATCACATCAATCAAACTGTAAATGACCTGACATCATAATAACACCAACACAGCTTTATCTGTCCTATACTGTCATTTTCAGCTCTTAATATTATTTTAAACCCTTTCATCTAACTCCTTTTGTGCTCATTTTTGAGCTATTTGACTGTTTAAAACTTATTTACTAGTAAATATCTTCTAATATTTGATAGGACATTTGCTGCCACTGCTCCTAATTTGGAGAATAACTTACTCTTCAACATTAGAACTGCCCATAGTCTTGAACACTTCAAAGAACTCATTAAAATGCATTTTCATTTTTTGGCATTTATATAAGGCTTGACATTGTAACCAACCTGTTCTGTCTGTTTAAAATATTGTGTTTTATTTCTGTGTTTTTATCTGCAGTTTTAAGAATACTGCATTCCGTTCTTTGGTGCAGCTAATAGCTGTTTTTCAAGTGCTTTATAAATGAATTGACATCAACATAGAATTGTTCCATCTGATGACATCTAAATGTTTGATGTTCTGTGTAGAGCATCCTCAAAACAAATCAGTAAACAAGTAGAGCATTCTACACATCCTTTAATCAGCAATACAAAGTAAAAAAGGCAATCTATTGGTGAGTATTAACTTCTGAATCTTGCAGCACTGTCACCTTGTTTTAAGTTTATATTCACTTTTTTGGTTTCTGGTGTTTAGTTTGCCCCTTCATGTGACAGTAAAGTTTTGAACCCGCTGAGAACACAGATCCAAGCTGTGAGTTTGGAGAACGAATGTAATAAATCAAAGGTCTTCACTGCTGCCCAAAGACAAGTGTGTGAGCACCCAGAGGACGCTTTGAGGGGCGGATTGGCCCCTGCCGAGCCCCTGCCTCAGGACGGATGGATGGAGGGATTGTGTTGACAAGGGGGAAAGACAAAGAGGAGGAGTAAGGAGGAGAAGCAGCCACACATTCAGCAGGGAGGCTGAGCGCTGCAGCCAGAAACTCATCAAAGAGCTGGAAGCACCTCCAGCAGCCCAGCAAAAGCAGGATGCTCACATATCTGTGCGTGATGGATGGATGGTGTGTCGAGGGGATGTTTGGTTCAAACATTGTTCATTAGTAAACTACATGACTGTCCTGCCTGATTGTTGAGGCAGAATGTCAGATGGTGATGAGCGATTACTGATCCGACTGTCAGGAAAACTTCACCTTCTCTTCCTGCATGCTGAGATCGCATCTGAGCCACAGTCTGTGTCATACAGAAACATTTCATGCACTCAACATGGGCAGCTTCATGTTTTACCACAGTCACACAGTCTGGATGTTTAAAACGTCACTGGTCAGACTGGAGGGAAAAAAAATATGCCAAGTCCTTAATGTTTTTATTCAATACCCTTACCATAATAACGTATTTTTTTAAGTAAATAGCTTAACTTCCAGTCACAAAATTTTAACACGTTGATATACAAGTTGACTCGATACAGAACTTAAATTTGCTACAAAGTCCGAGCAAGACTTTTAACAACAATAATTAACCCAATTGGTTAATGACTTGGTCACACCAAGTAATAAATATTGACTTTATTTATTACTTATTCATCTAAAAAGGACTATAAAATAACTTTGATTACTCAACTAGATGCCCTTAGATGTAAATAACTGTACAATTTTTGTACCATATTGGTCAAATATAAGTCAACTATAGCAAACCCTAGTATTGTTGAAACACTACAGGAGCACAAAACTTGATGTCATGGATTTGAATTATATACATAAAAGGCTTGCTGCCTTATATACTCCTCTAAGTTAGACAATAAGCTTAAGCTTCTTTATAAGCATTAAAAAAATGGCTCTATTTAGCATACATATCTATCTGTCTGGACTTCAGCTAAAAAAAAAAAAAAACATTGTGGAGCTAAACAAGTTGGGTTTTAAAAAATCTGAAGGAAACTTTTGAAAAATCTCCTTCCAGAAAAAAAAAAAAAAAAAAATCTCACTGGCCTCTTTCAATAGAATGTGAACTTCCTCTGGAAAGTTTCCATTTAGTTTTAACTTGTTTCAAATTAGCAGAACTCTGTAGCATTTAAAACCTTCAAACTTGTGTGATCACAAGAACTTTTTTGTGGAAGTCTTCGTCCCTTTATGATGATGAAGGAGTCTTACCACGAATGCTGATTTGCTCCCAGGATTAGGTTGGACCAGGTTCAGGCCCCGCAGGCTTTAGGGAGGTTTTGGACTGAGCAACCACCTCTGGGGTCAGACTGGCAGGAGGAGAGGGATGTTGGGAAGGTTCCACACAGACACCTCCCACTCTGGTGTGGGAGGGCAGTGGAGTGTCATGTGGGAGAGAGAGTGAGAATGTATTCATGTTTAGGTGTGACGTTCATAGATCCTCTTGGTCGTTCATCTGTTCTGCAGCCTTAAGACCACAGCAAGTGTGACACAGGCAACCTGATCAAATTATTGACATTCACGTATGATTACATAGGTGTTTGGAAGATATATAATAATGTAGAAAGACATGACCTACAACACAAATCGTTATTATTGTCATGTTTACACACATAAAGCATGTGCAGACAACATAAGTGCCTTTTTGTGAGCTGTTTAACAGGCGCCATAAGAAAAATGTTTAATTTTTGATGGCCAAATTTAAATTCAATACAGTAACCATTTATGGAGACAATTTTTTGTAGAATAAATTATTTTGATGATTCCCTGGTAAATACTTTGATTTGCCAAAAATGGCAGATTCAGCCACAATAAGCTCAAACATTCCAGATTAAATGAGAAGAATGGTAAAAAGGCTCTTTTAAATGAGGCACCAACTCACATTTAATCAACCAACAGTGGTGTAGCTATCCTTCCTTTGTGTGCTTACACTCCATAACACAGGAGGGTGTCTCCTTCCCAATGACAGGACATATGAAAAGCAATGGCAAATGGTTTTGGGAACTGACTGATGAATTTAATGTTTTCCTAGTGCTGCAGTGAGCCTGAGTTGGAATGACGAGCCATATCACAGGAACAGGCACTGATCATGGGATTAACTGCAGCAATAGCAGATATATTGAAATAATCACCAGTCTATGATGGAAGAACAAATAAGCAGAAAAAAAGTGACAAACTTTGTCAAAGTTTTTAATGATTCTCATTCATCCATATGCATTCACAAGTATATTTTTACATTTGTATTTTATGTTTTGTAACATCAGTTTTCCTGTCAGACAGATTATTGGACCTAACCACTGTTAGGTCTAAATGCAGCTGCTTTGAGATTAATGAACTCAATAAACTGTTTTAAAGCCCAGAAACAGTAAATCCTTCTTTGTTTACCTTTCACTATCTTTCAGTAAAAACATGTTGCATTTCACTCTGAGCACTGATTCCTACGTTTCAGAGCTATGGAGAAGAACAACTGGATTATTCATGCTGACTTTTAGGATTACTACAGGTTAGCTCAATGGATATTAAATCTGAGTGGTTCTGTGAACCAGAATGTATCACACAGAAAAGAGAAGCATAATTGGGCAGATTCTTCTATTTTCCAGCCCATCCACATATGAGTAATATCTTTATGTGTTAAAAGGCTCAGTGGGAACATTAGGAATATGTTATCTTTAATTTTAGTGGAGTTATTATTTGCGTAATGCATGAGTCAGATGTTTAGATTCTTTCTTATAATTTCAGATATGAGCATCACTCCATGTTCATCTCTCAGACGGGTTTCTCTGGAGCCGGCTGGCGTTGGTGTTGCAGCGCTGGGTGATCTCTGCTTGAAGCCTCTTCTGAGTCTCTGTCAGAAACTCATCCTGGTGGTCAACAGAAAAAAACCACACAGCCGTTACTGGTTTAAATGGAGGCGCTGTGCTTATGGTTTTAGGAGTAACCAGTCAGATCAGTAGGGAATATGTTCTTTTGCTCTTTTAACATTCTGTCTGTGCAAATTCTGTTTTTCACTAGAAATTATTCGACTTTTATTGAAACTATATTGAAAATAAAACTCAAAAGAAAAACTATTTCAGATGATACTTTTATCTAAATAAGCAGCTCAACTATGAGGAAGTGATTCTGTCAACTGAAATGATTCATTTCAATGAACGACCAAAGTGTTTTATTAGAAACGCCTGATTTCAGTCAAATATCAGGAAAGTGGTTTAAAATAATGAACCATTTTCAGTCGCTCAAAATTATGTGATTTTTATGATATCACTGTACTGTATAATAAATTTGTTGTGCTGCACATAAAATAGGATATAATATCTAATGTCTAGAAAAAATTTCGGAACAAAAAACTTTTCCGTTAATACAATCAGACTTAAAAATCTAGTTTATGTAACTCAAGAGATGTAAAAAAACAAAACAAAACAAAACAAAAAACATGAACTCTGCTTGAATAATACAATTCATATCCTCTATGGAAAATTAGATGTTGAATATTTTGTATTTACCTTAAATGTAAAAGGCAGATTTTTTTCCCATAATTATGCTAAAAATAAACATTTCTTTTCTATAAAGCGAAAAAAAGTCATAATTCAAACCACAGAATGAAGAAAAGCTAAACGCCATCTTACATTGTCAGCAATATGTAGCTTAAGTTCTGGACATTTCTCCTGTGTAACTGTATGTAAATTCAGGCAGCATGTACTTTCTATGCTCAAACCAACTTAAATTAAATCAAAACATGACTGTTTACTGGCATTCACTTGTAAAGGTCAGCAATAATTTTATCTGTTCTTTTCACATTTGCACAGAAATGTTTGTTTCTATTTGGTAATATTCGACCTGGGTTCAAATAAAAAGCCGTTGAAGAGACTCTCAAAGAGCGTGGAGAACTAATCAAGATGATGTGAAGAGATTACAGAAACCAGCAAAGATGGAGAGAAGATTAGGAATATTAAACTGTAGATTTGAACTGAACAGGGTTTAATCTCAATTTAGCCTTTCAAAATAAGAGTTTTCTGATGTAAATCAACATCCTGGAGCAAAGCAGAGGTTTGACTCTGCTTTGCTCCCCCCATGCCTCCTTCCCGCCTCTCCTCCACCGTGGCGGTGGTCTGCAGCAGAGCAGTTAATAAAGAGATTGATTATCAGCCTGTCAGGAAGTGACAGTTGGACAGGGCGGCTCTGCGTGAATGACAGAGGGCACACTCACCACGCAGCAGCCAACCTGACGCTCACACACACACACACCCACACACACGCACACGCTCACAAGGCTCTGCCAGCACAGAGGGTAGGTGGAGGATGTGGAAGAAGGCGGAGGGTGGATGGGTGAGAGGCGGGCATGTGGAGAACAGAGACGCAACCTTCTGCTGGTAGAAGTGTGTGGTAATGTGTGTGTGTGTAGGTGGAGGTGTTGGAGGGGGTCAAAGTTCACAGTCGCCTCCTTCTGCTGAAAGAAATGCCAAGCCCTGCAGCCAAACGGGTCAGAGGAGATCCAGGAACACACAGACACACCCGCACATGCACACACCCTCACACACACACACACCCACACACACGCAGTGCTGGGCTCACACACAGACACACACCGAGTCTGTTTCTGTGTTTCTGTGACTTTTCCTCTGAACAACAACAACATGATGAGTACTTAAGAGACTATCAACAACAAATCTAATATACTTCTAAGTTTAAATATCCTTTGTGGCATTAAACTCATTTACTGATCATTACACCTGATCCTAATATATAGTCAATGGGTTTCAGTTTCTCTGGTCACAACCTTGTTCTGTTGTTTCAATTGTTTCTAATTTGTTGCATTTCTAAACAGAACATCAGCTATAGGTAGGAAAAATCAAAATGGAGGCTCAATTACTCGGGTTACCTCACTTTGTGAAAGCATGGCTATAGATTTACGACACTGTGTTTTAGCTAACAAGCTAAAATAATCACTCGAGTGCCGCCAAAATGGTTAAACAGATAAATGGATGCATGTTTTAAGCTAAATGGATTTGCACAGAAATCAAGGTTCTTGAAAATGCAGAGTCGTAGAGACTTGGCATAAGTTTTGCAACCAGACACACTCTCCTGCTGTCAACACTATTTTTCTGTTACTCTGGTTCAGCAGGTGGAACAATCAATACGTTAAGTACACAGAACCTGAATCTGAGCTGTTTACAGGCGGAGCAGAGGAGGAGACCTCAGATGGGTAGTTTCCCTCTGGCTGGGTGCCACAGACAAACTCTGTTTGTTCAGCTCCTCCTCAGCTGATGAAGACAACAGCCTTCTGCTGGCCTGAATTAGAAAATCAATACAGACTAAACACATTAATGTTGCCAAAGCAGAGGGTCAGGGTTTCACTGTGGCTCTCTTACTGGCAATTGAAAAACTGCTGCAATTCAAGGTACAGGCTTAATCTACAAATATAAATACCTTTTTTATTACTTTTATTTTTCATGTTAAGATTTTGCATGCACACAGATGTTACAGTTTGTCTTGTAGAAACTAGTTTTGCCAAACTTGGGAGTATATTTTAAGCTGTTAAGGTGATTATTCTGTCTTCCTTCCTGAGCATACAAAGGCTGTGTGACGTCTTTCTGTTTGATCCGTTACAGGATGGGGTTTTATTATTATTATTATTTATTAATTATTTCTGTCAGGATGATTTAAAGACAGAGCTTCTTCTCTCTGGCAACAAGACTAAAAACAGCTTGGGCTAACAGTTTGGCCCAAATTGTTATGACCTGGTAAACACCATCAAATCTACAACAGAACTTTCAAATGGCCTAGTCAAAGTCCAGCTCTCAGCTTGGCTGAATTGTGTGATGGAGCTGAGCAGAAATAAATATTTTTAAACCTCAATGATCAGAGAAAAACAAAAACAAAACTGAAGTGAAAATTGACAGATGTTACAATCAGGGTAACTACGTTACTGCAGCTGAAAGTGGTTCAACAAGCAATCTCTTGCTGGGTTTGCATTGTTGTGTGTAGATAGTTCTCATTTTATAAATAGCTCACTCAGATCTTGATTTTGTTCTGTAAGAGGAACAGAAGAGTATTTTTGAATTAAACTGAGAGTTCAAGTGGCTGTTTTAAATTGAGAGAGGTTTCAGGAACTTTTAAGTGGATTTGTTTGAGTTTGATCAAGAGATTAAACTTTTAGATGCCCCTCCCCTCTCTGCTCTTGAGGAAAAACTCAAGAGCAGAGAGGGGTGCAGAGAGTTTTTCCTCTCTGCACCTGAGGAAAAACTCAGGTGCAGCTCCTCTCTGCTTACAGCCAAACAGCAGAAACACAGAACCTGAGAGCCGAGAAGAAACCGATTCGTCTTCCCGTCTGTGAAAACTCATCATCACATAACAAACAAGAGTCGCCATGTTTCAAACATCCACAAATTCTTATGAGGCTGGTAGTCTCTCTGTATGTGTGCGTGTGTTATGGAGGACGGTGATGATAAAAAAAGATGAGTTTAGAAATTCTCTGATAATTGGAGCCTTAAAAGCAGCTCATTTTTAACGATGTCACCATGACTGCTCGATGACAATTAATCTGTTTGCTGCTGCTTCCTGGCATCTGTGCCAATTACTTTATATGCTAATGTATGTAAATGACACCTCAGACGCCAGTCGAGCGCCATGCGTGCTGCGTATCCTCTGTATTTTTCTTTTATTATTTTATTTTTTTTAAATTGTTTTGCTGAGACTGATCATCAAAACATGTCCTTTAAATCTTGATGTGTATTAACACTCGTGGATACTGTTTTTTTTTTCTTCCTTTTTGAGTTTTTAAATAAAATCTTGCAATTCCAGGTAAGTGGACAGTCGGTGCAAATTATCAGAATTTATTTTTTATTTTTTTCAATATAAAAGAAGTTTTTAAAAATGTGTTTTTAGGAAGTGCAAAAGAGCAATTAGTACCAAATAACAAAAACAAAAAGTTTCACACTTTTAATAACCAATGACTAAAAGAATATAATGTATTTTTGGCTAACAATAAAACTAATTTTCAGTTTGAAATTTTACCCTGACTTAATTGGATAAAAAAAGAAAGAAAGGAGAAAAAAAAAGCAATGATTGAGTTTACCCTGACACTGTTTTGCACACAGCTGTCTGCAAATAAAACTCAATCAGCAGGTGTGAACAATTGCAGGTTTGTATGTTTGTCTGAATGATGTGTTTGGTTGTAAATGAGAAGACTTTAAAACACAAAAAAACTGAAAAGATTTTTCAGCTTTAACTGCAACTGGCACATTTAAATGAACAAGTTTAACTGAATCAAATATCGGATACATATAGTATTAATAAATGAAGACATGCACAAAAATAATTACCTGCATACATAAGAAAACATCCAGCAGCCAAGAAATTCCTATTTCTGACTGTTACTTTTATTGCTAAATATTGGGGTAATGGCACAGAGGACTTCTAACCCTAAAGACTTGGAGTTCATCACCCAAGATAATATTCCAAAATAGTGGTAGAAATATGCAAAAAGCTGGTTGACAATGAGATAAGAGTGGGATGAAGAACCTGAAACAGGTGAAGTAGTTTGGACATTTCGATGAAGGAATGTAAAGTTTAATAGGGAGAAGTTAGGAAGAAAAAAAAGATGAAGAACACAAGAGAGAACGATCCATTTCTTTTTGACTTCATCATGAAGCGTCAGCTAAGAAGTTTAACTTCCACCACATTGCCTTCATAACGGCAATGTTTCTCCAAATGTGATATTTTGTTACATCTGGCAAACTCATTAAACAAATGCAAAAGCTAAATAATTAAAAGCAAGATTAAAAAAAAAACTGTTTAATTCCTAAAAAGTATCAAAGTGAAGCTTGGAAGGAGTTAAAACAAAAAAAGTACGAACAAAAGTTGA